CAGATTATGATATATAAAAAATCTCAAATTTGATAAAATTATCTCTAACCCCTATATTCTTAGCACAGAACCCATATATAGAAAAAATAAAAAAAATAAAAGATGTATGACTTTGGTCAATATCACTCCAATTTGTATGAAAAAACTACCATTCGATTTCTCACGACTTGATGAATCCAATGTTTTAACATTTATTGATCTCAGATCATCCAATCTCGAAATAATCATAATTGTATTATCGGCCAAAATTATAAATCAATTAATTCAACTTTAAATAAAGAAGTCTGGATTTCAAAATTCAATCGCATATATCTTGAGATGGGCTGATCTGAAATCAATGAATGTTAGCTTATTGGATTTATCTAGTCGTGAGAAATCAAAGGAATCAAATGGTACTTGATTTATATGAATCAGAATGATATTGACCGAGATCATATATCTTTTATTTATTTTATTTTTCTATATATAAAAAATACTGTAATATGATGTTATTTCGACTTTTGGGTTTTAATTTTGACTTTATGTATAGTTGCAACTCAATTTCTTACAGGCAAAGCAGCAAATGTTATAACTACTATAAATAAATGTAGGCATGACATGATTATGCACCTTACAATTGCAATCTTAGTGAATGACCTCTTACATTAGTTTAAATGTGAATCTTCACCTAAAATACTGATTCATAATGCATAATGGTTAAGATTGTAGTTCTAACCAAAAAATCCTACATGACTTAATAGTTTGCAATTTACTAGTCTATTATCTTTAAAGTTTATAATTTAAATGCATCAACTACAAGTCTACGATCTAGAAGTTTATTATGCATCAGCATTTTTTGTTATGAAAAAGAATTTGCTATAAAATTTAGTAAGATCACAAATTTGATCTTTTTAGATAATAAGTATCATTGCAAGTTAGAGAACCTGAATTTCCAGTTGCTGCAGTAGATAGAGAAAAGAAGGTTGTAATCAGTAAAAATACTACATTTGCAGTTGCTGACTATGATTCACCAAAACTGGAATCATACTAAATGTAGCAATAATATATAATTAGAGTTTCTCAAAATTAAATCGAATCAAATATTTAAGCAATTTGAATTTGATTTGAATTTGATCAAATCAAATCAAATTGAATCAAATATTTGTATAATCAAATCAAATCAAATCGAAAAAAATAAAATTTGAAATTTCATTTTACAATAAAGTTTTTTTTTAATTTTTACAATAATATATTAAAATAAAATTATTCTAAGAAATTATTAATAATTACACTAAAAATTTCAAAAATAGCTTTTACAAAGTAAGTTTAGTAACAGGTGAATTTTTATTATTAAACTTAGTAAAATAACTCTGCGGTCTCGGTTTTACTAAGAAAATTTAGTAATAACTGCCATTGCAGCTTCAGTTTACTAAGAAGCTTAGTAATAACCACTATCGCAGCTTCAGTTTACTATGAAAACTTAGTAATAACCGACATCGCGGCTTCAGTTTACTAAGAAACTTAGTAATAGTCGCCATTTTGGCTTCGTAACCATTTTATTATTAACAAAACATTTCTGAAGCCGCGAAGGCGTTTTTTTACTAGGTTTCTTAGTAAGAATCACTCCTGAAGCTTTGAAGATGGCTTTACTATTAATTCGAATCAAATTAAATATTTGAATACTTGATTTGAATTTGATCAAATCAAATCAAATATTGATTTGGATTTAATCAAATAAATCATTCTTTGATTTGAATTTGATCAAATCAAATATTCAAATATCAAATCGAATTGCAGAACTTTAGCTTCAAGTATGAAAGTTATAGATAAACAGAATGAGAAGCGTCAAGCCAAAAGAGATTTTCAAAATAAATTTAATACTGCTTTTACAGCATTAGAAAACAAGATATGGATGCTGAAATTAGTAAATCTACTAATCCAGTTTCTGAAAAAAGTGCAGGTAGCAAGGCAAAAAAGACCGGAGGTAAGAAACGATCCCAAGGGGTTCAAGCAATACCTGGAATAAAAAAAGAAATTATTTCGCCTACTGAATCCTCTGAAGATATCTTGAATTTGTATAAGAGAACTGATAATACTTTAGAAGAAATTAAAGCATCTGATCATTCTCTTATTTCCAAATAGTTATTCGTCATATTCAATCTGACTGCGCAAACTATTATAGTATCCTATGATTTCCAAATTTGATTGAATGCTAAAAAATAATGCCTTTTCGAGTTCTTTCATATGAATTGTCATATCCTCATAATTCATGCAGTTTATGCATTTTTTTTAAGTTCTTCTTACCAATCAGATTAGAAGAATTGGTAGATGTTTGGTCCTGCTCCTCTTTTGGCAGATCCTTGATTACCAGAGCCTTGCTAAAGGTTGGGATAATATATGTCTTTTCATGTAACTTTATGTGGAACTGGTTTTTATTTGGCTCAGAAACGTCTTGAACCTTTCGAATGTTTGACATACCAAAAAATAGCATTGGTTCTGTTTCATCATTATCAATATGAATAAAATTTTCAATAACTATGACTGTCTTACCTTCTTTATCCTTTAAGGTAACTGGCACGTCTGTAAACCATCCTAATGGATCAGTGATATGCTTGGAATTGCCCTTTATGGCAAAATTAGATGGTTTATCAGCTTTTCATCCAAGCGTCTTGATTGTTGGGTCATTTAAACTACCTAACTTACTACTAGTATCTAAAAAAGATTCAGAAATAGTTAAGTTATTTATATTAGCATTCAGATATTGTAAAGATGATAACCACTCATCTGATTCTTTCGATTTCTTCTCCTGAGCCTTTTGAGACAAGCATATTTTTGTATTAGTAATAAGAGCTTAGACAATAACTGATCATACGTTTCAGGTTGGCTAGATTCTAGGGGTGAGATTGCATTAGTATCACTGGCTAACTTATCATTTACTGGTACCTGTTTTTTTTTGGTACATAATACCACTCATTATCTGCTTGTCATAACTATCCCCATCATTTTTCTCACTATCTAAATTGGGAGGAACTATTGGTTTAAGAGGTGTAAAATAAGATTGAGTGAAATTAGATTGAGCTACTAGTCTTTTTGGACAACTTGTTTTGCTATGGCCTGTTTTCCCACAAATATCACATTTACGTATATTTAGTTTTTGAAATAGATCAGCTAACTGGTTTACATTATTCTGAGTTTCTTCAAGTCCTACTTCAATCCTATTAAATCTAGTAAAGTTATTGTTTCGCTATAGATGAGGTTTTTGAAGAGACTTTACAGGATAATTAGAGTCTAAATCTTCCTTATTAAGTAGACCTACTTCTTTTAAGTATACAGCTACATAATAATTCTTGAGACCTTCCTCTGTTTTCAATGTAGATGGTGGACCTTTCAGCTATCTAATTAGTTTAACAGTTTGTGGAATAGTTACTTGCTAAGCCATTTGCGATTGAAAATCAGATTTTTGCTTTTCTAATAAAGACTGGTATTCAGTTTTTTGCTGTGTCAGTACGTTTTGAATTGCTTTTTGCATATCTTCTAAAGAAATTCCTTGCTGTTATAAGGCTGAAATAGGTGAAGATTCATATATTTGCTGAGATGCTCGATTAAATAATAGCGGATCTGATATTTTATCTCTTTTATGTCTAATAATTCAGCATAATTCTATCTCATAAAGTTTTTTAGCTAATTCATCTAATGGAAAATGTTTGCTAATATCCTCAGCCTTTTCAAGCCATGCAAGTAGAAGAGCATCTAAAAACTTCTTACGTAATTCTTCAGGTCTATAGTTAGCTCGTCTACCTATTCGTAATATTTTTCTATATAATTCATCTATAATCATGTCTCCTTTTCTGATTGTTTCATATGGGAGGTTTGCTAGAAAAATGGTGCTCTGAGAAATTTTTATTAAAATTTTAATTTTTATTGCATTTTAATTTTTGATAATATTAGATTAAAATGCAATAAAAATTAAAATTTTAATAAAAATTTCTCAGAGTCCCATTTTCCTAGCAAACCTCCCATATATCAAATCCCAAATTTCTTCTTCTACAGTAGGAAAATGAGTTTTCAGCTACCATATAGCTTGACTAAATCGAATACCAGATACAACTACTGTAGTATCATTATTAGCATTTGGTACATTTACAGCAAGATTAATAGGACGACTACCTGCTATATGCCAGTCTTTATCCTAAGGACCTTCTACAACTCTCAATTTGATTATTGCAGTTCCTGGTTAACCAAAAGCTTCATTTATTGCTTGATTTCCTATTTGAACAGCTGTTCGCTTATTTACTGCTACTAAGTTACTCTGCCCTGTATTATCAAGTAAGTTTACTAATTCCCAATTCTATTTTGTAGTAATTTCTTCGTCAAACCATTCTAAGACTCTTTCTCTCATACATCCTCTCAAATATCCTATAGCTATTTCTCTTCCTGTGGGTGGACCTCTCGCATTATCTGCTAGATCTATATCTTAATTTGCAAATATAATCTAAGTTTTGCTAAAAAATCTGGAATACTATCATCCCAGTCAAAAAATGGTTGTGAGATTCCTGTCATATTTATTTGATTTGATGGATTATTCTGTAACGCTAAAATTTGTCCATGCAAATTTAAAATATTCTGACGAAAATTTTTTCTTTAGCCTTCCATTTCTCATATTGCTTATAGAGCCTATCTCAATTATATTCTAATAGACCTATATCTTCTTTATTTCGCTGTAGGTGGTGGGCATTCACTGATATAATAATTGTAAAGCCAATTTTTCTTGTACCATTTCACCTATATAGGTTTGCTTTCTTGCTATATTACTTATCATTCTATTTACTTAGTTTTGAGCATTAGTTTAATATTAATGAAGATCACTAACAACCGTAACCATCCCTCCTTTAGCAAGTTGCCTTCGTATTATTTCATTATCCCTTTTAGCTCTACATTATAACGCCTTCTCTGCTCTCAGGTTAAATCCTATTGCAAAACATTAAATTTTTGATGAATTTGTCTTGTTGTTCTTTTTATTTGGTTTGATAAGATATCTATATGTATTGCCCTGTTATTCACATAACCATCTATAGCATCTGCTAGCTCTATAATTGTGACCATATTATTATCAAAATTATACAAGTCAGGAGAATTCCCTTGTATTGTTGAATTTTTCCTTGATGAGATAGTTCTGATCTAACATTGCAATCTTTCTACTTGCTTCTCAGATTCTACTAACCATTCTTCTAAACTAGAAATATATTTTCCTTTATCTCACACATCTTTCCTAGTTTAATATAGCTGACTTTTTAGACTGGAGATTTCAGATTTTAGCTCTGCTATCTCTTCTTCTGAAGCATTCTCAAGACACTCTATGTCTTTATTAAAATTTTGGATTTCTTGTTCACACCGGGAATAATCTCACTCCAGTTGATTAATTTGACTCTCATTCTGACAATTAGTATTAATTTCTGTTTGCAACTCACTACGAAGATGGTAGTTTTTCTTCTTCAACTCAGCTTTATATTCTTCACAGGCTTTTCTCTACCTTGGCTGAGGTCTGCAGAATGACATTTTTTTGTAGTTATATAGAAAGATGGGAGAACCGGTTATTTATATTAGTCCCCAAAAAGCTCATGATTTAGACTGTCACCTTGCCTTACAAAAGCTTTATTATCTTCCTAAGAACCTTTATCAAAATGCTAAAGGATTGTAGAATGCTTGTAAAAAAGCTAATTATAACTTTCCATTTACTGATGTAAAAAAATGGTTTGATAGGCAGGCAATGTACCAAATTTTTCATCCTTCACTAAAGCATATACCTTATACCAGTTACTCTAAAATCACGAAGTCAAATTCTGTATACCAATGTGATTTGATCGAAATACCATATGATGATGTGAATATAAATTTAATAAACAATAGCCCAATATTTTACTATGTATTATTAGTTATAGACTGCGTGACTAGATTTAAAGATTTTGTTTTTTTAACATTAAAAAGTAGTGAAGAAGTCACAGAAGCATTTAAGAGTATATATGATAATCCTGATAAACCCCTCAACTGGCCTCAAAAACTATAATGTGATAAAGGCATCGAGTTTATGGAATATGTGACTTTATTAATGAATGAACACAGTGTTGAAATCTGAAGAATTATAGCACGTTTCAGACATACAAGCTTTATTATGGTTGACCATTATGCTGGATTATTTAAATTAAAAGTTTTTAAAAATTAGTATTTGATAGAGTTTCTCCTACCTACTGGTAAGCGCTGTAGGGAATGTGAGTGGTTTGCGAGAAAAATTGTTAATAATATGAATAATAGTCTAACTCAATTGATTGGAATGAGTCATAATGATGCCATAAAACTTAAGCGGATATATTCCAAGCCATCAGTAAAATATAATCATCCGATAGGTGTTGATAAACCACAGCTACCAAAGGGTACTACTATTTGATTTTTGCTTGCCTCTGAAGAGTGAGAAAATAATCTTTTGAATGACATAGAATAACAGGTCCAATATGGTCCTCTAGCCTACATAAAATCTGAAGAATCGTTGTTGAAAAGAATCCTCTGATGCTTGTTTTATATTATTTAGATGATTCAGAACCTTAACATCCTTTTGTAAGAGAACAATTAATGCATATTAAAAAAGAGCCAATGCTTCCTCCTAGGTAGATATTGAAAGGTAACTGAATATGTGTAAGGCGCTTTTTATAAAAGTTTCTAAGTCAACAATGCAATAAGGAATTTTAATGAGAATTATTCCTTTTTCATAGTATAATGCCCTCTTTTCCCAATCACGCTGAATTTTCGCATTTATATTCATCTGCCTTTTTGGATGAAAAAAAGGCACGATTTGGTAATGTTGGTTACCATTATATTCAAAGGCCAAACCTAGTTCTTCATTGTATCCATCTAGGTATAAACCTTCTAAAAATTTAGGTTTTCAGAGTGTGAATTTTTTATTTAATAAATCTTCGAATATATACCGACATGTTCTTTTCAGTATATTAGGGCAAATATTACACCATCTATGATTCTATTTCATATTTTTATATAGCATCTTCCATTGATGGCCCTTTTTACATATCCATAAATAAATGTTAAAATTACTACTAACTCTAGCTAAACACCTTTCTTCACGTTTTTAGACATAGGCTAAAGCAATGATAGGTTTTGTACTTATTTTTTAATTTTAAATATTTTGGACAAGGTTTTAGACATATGAAATTGTATCCAAAACCTGTCCAAAATCTGTCCAAAACTGTCCAAACCTGTCCAAAATTGTCCAATTGCCAAACACTGGGCTAAAGCTTTGGTATCAGTTCCGTTATGATATTGCATTTTATAAACGCAGAAGAATCGATCTGAATAATTGCAAATCCAGATTGCTAGTTCAGAAGTAGAATTAAACTTAGCTACTAATATTGCATAAGCAAAAAAAGATAAATATCTTCAGTACTTTTTAGCAGAAGTGGGATCGGGTTTCTGCCTCACATCAATATCAAGAATTAAACATAAAGGCAGGTTCCTATTGATGTATTCATGAGAATCAGGTAATCCATAAATCTCAGAAGGATGATCAACTAGTATAAAACTCTTTTCAGATACTCGAATGATATATTTATCAAAAATCTCTTTAAAATGATAAGCGCCTAAAAGAGCGATACTATCTTTACTATTAGTTTCTAATAAATGTTGAAAATTAGTGTTCCGCAAAAAATCCGATTCGATCCGAATCCGATCCGGATCCGACGGATCGGATCGAATCGAATTTATCGG